TTGTTGATCTGATGCAATTCTCCGACAAGGCCCAGCGCAAAGCTGCAGAGAAGGAACACGACCAGGCTCTTAAGGTATATCAGAAAGCTGTCAAGACACGCAATAAGACGATCAATGAACGGACCAAGATGGAAGAGAAATGGGAAAAGGAAAAAGCGAAAGAGAAGAAGGACCGAGAGAAGGAAGAGAAGAAGAGGCAAGAAGAGCGGGGGAAAGCAAAGAAGGAGCAGGAGAAGGAAGAGCTGAAGAAGGCTGAAGAGGCAAACAACATGTCAGCAGAGGATAGGCAAAGGCAGAAAGAAAGAGAACAACGACAAGCCGAGGCAGAGCAGAGGGAAGAAGAAGCGCGGCAAAGGCAAAGAGAGGCAGACTTGCGCGATGGGAAGATACCCGCAGAAGACAAAGCCGAACCAAAACGTGCTACCACTGACCTGGAAGAGGATATTGGTGCTATTGAACTGGGAGACGATGAGCCAGCTCAACACAACCCCCAGCATCCATACGCCAACTACCAATTCTCCCGTAGCGGAATCATGCGTCAAGACACACCAGACGGCCGCGCCGATTCCTCCTACACCCTTTCCACAATGGACAGCCAGAATAGCCATCGGCCAAAGACCGAGTCAGAAGAAAGCGCGCCCGCCAAGCCTAAGAAGCTCAAGAAATTCTGCATGCTACCACCGAAAGACGCAGATGGGAACAAAGACCCTACATGGATACGAGTCTTTATGGAGAATATGGACGAGGTGACAGCACATACCTCGCTGTTCTTCATCAACGAGACATACGAGAAGCTAGTAGGAGACGTCGGCGCAAGGATAGAAGACTGGGTCAGAGAAGCGGATAGTGTGCGGCTGGTGCGCGAGATGAGTGAGATGGAAGACATGAAATCGTGATTCATCGCCCAAGATACCCGTTGTATATATGAAGTTGCCATAGATAATTCATGCGTTGCTCTCTCTAAGACTGAGTACTGGTCCACCCCATCTGCGGCGCAATCGACATGACCCTGCCACCTACGACCAGCCCCCAAACACCCAGGCCCAGTATCCCTGATCCACCGTTCGCCATGCCCGCCCATACGCCTCCTGCTGCCGCCCACCCCAGACTCAATGTGCCCAGCAATAATACCACGAGCTCGCTACCCCGTATTGCTTCATTGAACTTCTCGACAAACGGGATTTTCGTCTGATTCTTGTCGTTCCAGAAGTTGTTCATGTGTACCCTCGCGAGGTACGCAGCCGCCGCATTCGCCGCGCCAGCCCCAATAAGCACTTTTGTAGACGCGAGACTAGGTACGATGAGGAGGGCCGTGGAGGTGAGGAAACTAAGTAGTAGCTACAACCATCTTGTTAGTTACACATGTTCTCACATTGCGCTTGGGAGGGAGGGGGATTACAAACCGTAACAGTCCCACTAGTCTGCGTCGACCGCGTCTTGTGCAGTCTTTGCGCCGCAGTATTTGACCATTCTGCAGCTTTCTCACTCTGTTTCTCGTATTGTTGCAGGCGGGTTATGTTTTGGTAGGAGAGGATTAGGCCGTAGGCGCTGAGGGCCGAGGTGAGGCCGAGTTGGAAGACGCTGACGGTGTAGATGGAGGGGGAGAACATGGTTGAGTGAGAGGAGAGCGTCTGGATCAGCGGAGGCAGTGGGGTTGGAGGGATTGTTGGTGATGTGCTTGCTGGGGTGGGTGTGAAGGTGTAGAAGGAAGTTTGGTGGAGGGACGGGACGCTACGTCATCGCGTTCTAGAACTTGCAGGGTTGAGGGGATGGGCGGTACCAACGCGACGCGACAACGCGAACACATTCGAAACGCTCTTGCTTTGTAGAATAGACCTATCGCATCTGCTTCATATCCCTATCGATACCCAACTTCGGCTCATGCGCCAACTTCGAGAAAAGGCAGACTAATCAGCTTCCGTCACAATTACTATGCATGCTGAAGACTACGACGTGTCCGTCGTGTGAAAATGCAGGTTCTATGCCCTCGCATTTGGTGGCTTGCCCTGTTGTTTGTGGTTGTTCAAACTCCTTATTGTCCATAGTTCCCTCGGCACTGTTCTGCTCGGCTTCAAAAGATATCCCGAGATTCTAGCGCTATATTCAAAAGCCGACCGGCTACGGATAAGGAGCATGTTTCCGACCTGCCTTTTCTCACAACATCGCAAAAATGGCTTGTGTCGTTCCTCCTGTGCTATCCAAGCCATTGTTAAGTCATGCTTACTACTAAACTTGCAGCGCGAAGGTACCCTCTACATCGATGTAGCAATTCGTATGCGAGGAGTCTGGCTTCGCTTGCACCGCGCGTGTCGATCAGCCCTCTCGATGCAGGCATATCACTCGACTACGACCGACAGGTCTTGCAGCTCAAGTCTGTTAGACATGGCTCCCCGCGCCCGTTGACCCTGACGGAGAAGGTGCTGTACAGTCACCTCTATACTTCCGCTGAGCACCACTGGTCTCTGGATGAAATCAGGCGTGGAGAGACGCTGCTGCACCTCCGCCCAGACAGAGTCGCATGCCATGATGCGACGGCTACTATGGCATTGCTGCAGTTCATCAGCGCAGGCCTCCCGGAAGTTCAGATCCCCACAACAGTGCACAGCGATCACCTAATTGTATCGCGCGACGGCGCCGAAGAGGATCTTGTCCGTGGAAGAGAAGAGCATCGCGAGGTTTACGCGTTTCTTAGTAGCGCAGCGAAGAAATACGGAATCGGCTGGTGGAAACCGGGTGCCGGCATCATCCACACCACCATCTTCGAGAATTATGCGTTTCCTGGAGGCCTGATCATCGGGACGGACTCGCATACGCCCAACGCCGGCGGCATGGGAATGCTTGGCATTGGGGTTGGGGGTTCTGATGCAGTCGATGCGATGGCTGGTATGCCCTGGGAGCTCATGTGCCCACAGATCGTAGGCGTACGACTTACTGGTAGCCTGCATGGATGGGCCTCGACAAAAGATATCATCTGCAAACTCGCCGGTATACTGTCTGTCTCAGGCGGAAAGGGCAAGGTGATTGAGTTCTTTGGCCCAGGTACGCAGACGTTGGGTGCCACGGCCATGGCCACAGTCTGCAACATGTCAGCTGAAATTGGATCGACTTCTTGTATCTTTCCCTACTCCGAGACCATGAATCGATATCTCTCGGCGACGAGGCGTGCGGATGTTGCGCGCCTCGCAAACGGCTACAAGGATATCCTGCTGACTGCAGATGAAGGCTCCGAGGAGCACTATGACACAGTCATCGAAATCGATCTAGACTCGTTAGAACCACATGTCAACGGTCCCTTTACTCCGGATCTTTCGCATCCTCTTTCAGAACTCAAAGATGCTGTAGCAAAGAATGACTGGCCTGTCGAAATCAGTCATGCCATGGTAGGCAGCTGTACCAACAGCTCATACGAAGATCTATACAAGACGTCGCAGCTTGTCGAGCAGGCCAAGGCTGCTGGTTTACCGAAAGTGAATACACCATTTCTGGTCTCCCCAGGCAGCGAAGACATACGCGCGACTGCAGAGTCGGAGGGTATCCTGCAAACTTTGCGCGAGGCAGGTGCTGTTGTGCTGAGCACAACTTGTGGCCCTTGCGTAGGGCAATGGCAGCGTACAGACGTCGATGTTAAAGGCCGCGAGAGAAACACGGTAGTTTCCAGTTTCAATCGCAACTTCATTGGTCGGCACGACGGCAACCCAGAGACCTGTTCATTTGTGACTTCTCCAGAGATGGTGACGGCTTTTGCCTACTCTGGAAGGTTGGATTTCAATCCTGTCGTCGACTCTCTTCAAATCGAAGGGTCAGCGCAGGGGTTCCAGTTTACAGCACCAAAGAACGTCGAGTTGCCCATGCAGTTCGTCGTGGGCGAAGATTTCTACCAAGCTCCAGTTCATGACGCCGACGATGTGGTGGTCGACATTGACCCACAGTCTGAGCGTCTGCAATTACTTGAGCCCTTCAAACCCTGGTCTTCCGGCTCGACGAAAGACATGCCGATTCTCGTCAAAGTCCAAGGAAAGTGCACGACCGACCATATTAGTCCCGCAGGCCCGTGGTACAAATTTCGTGGTCATCTCGAGAATATCAGCAACAACATGCTTCTTGCAGCTTCGAACGCCTTCCTAGGTTCCGACTCCAAGTTGCTCGGCCACACGATCCACCCGCTAACCAGCGAAATCGGACTTGTGCATGAAGTCGCCCGAGACTTGCGCGATCAAGGTGTAAACTGGTGTATTGTCGGGGACTTCAACTACGGAGAAGGGTCATCGCGTGAGCATGCAGCGCTAGAACCGCGTTTCCTCGGTGGTGTCGCGATCATAGCGCGCTCTTTTGCCAGAATACACGAAACCAATTTGAAGAAGCAGGGCATGCTGCCTCTGACTTTTGCGAATGCCCAGGACTACGATCGCATCCAGTTGGGCGATCGCATTACGCTACAAGGTGTTGAAGACGGCGAGCTACGGCCCGGAAGGCAGGCTAGCATGCGTGTGGTGCGCGCGAATAATGCAGGAGAGTGGATCGCGCCGCTCAACCATAGTTACAGCAACGGTCAATTGAAGTGGCTGAGAGCGGGGAGTGCGCTGAACCATATCAAACAGACGGTCTTGGGGAGATGATGCGGCAGACTGGAGTTGGAGGTGTGGTTTGGGGTAGGCCCCCGGGGAGACAATTGCAAACTTGCAACATCAACAAACTCAAAAGTCTCCACTCGATGTCGACATCAGCAATACTAGCCATTGAGGTATATAACTACCTCGGCGTTTTTGGCTGGACCGCTCGGTCTAAGGAAGTTAGATAATGTAAAGACGCCACGGAACCCCGCGGTCATCGCCTCGATTCTGATTGGCGGAAGTCCCACGCTGATCTACAAACGCAGGCCGACGCGTTCCTGGAGCCCTAGAGCCGTCTCCCGTAAGCCGTGAGCGGGCAGCTAGTTTGAGGCACCTGTTGACTGTACGTGGTTTCGACGACTCGTATCGAGCATCAATTGACCTTTCGCAATGGCTCAAAGAGTGCTTCTTCGAACAGGCCGGGGCTTGTCGCTCGCGCCTCGCTCCCTGCAGATCACCCGCTCATTCAGCACCGTTCTCGATACCCCTGTCGACCCTGGAACTCAACAATTACGCTCACCAGCGCGGACAGGCTCCGTCTTCGAGAATGCGCTCAATGCAAGTGCTCCCAGGACCAGCTGGACGAAGGAGGAGATTACTGAAGTCTACAATACTTCGCTGATAGACCTTACACATGCAGCGGTATGTCACACAGCTCTATCACTATTTGGATAGACAATGTCTCATCAATCCCGTTGTAGGCTTCGGTGCACCGGCGCTTCCATGACCCCGCCGCCATCCAGATGTGCACACTGTTCAACATCAAGACTGGAGGCTGCAGCGAGGATTGCTCCTACTGTGCGCAGTCATCGCGTTACGACACAGGATTGAAGGCTACGAAACTGTCATCAGTTGACTCAGTCCTGGAAGCTGCGCGGGTTGCAAAAGAGAATGGAAGCTCAAGATTCTGCATGGGAGCTGCCTGGAGAGACATGCGAGGCCGCAAGACCAATCTCAAGAACATCAAGGAGATGATAAAAGGGGTTCGCGGCATGGGTATGGAGGCATGTGTCACTTTGGGTAGGCACTAAGTTTACGAACTGCGTGTGAGACATACACTGACTTTATATTTCTACATCACAGGTATGGTTGATGCCGCGCAAGCAAAAGAGCTCAAAGACGCTGGATTGACTGCATACAACCACAATGTTGATACCAGCCGGGAGCACTACCCCAGTGTCATCACCACTCGCACGTACGACGAGCGACTCGCCACCATCAAGAACGTCCAAGAAGCCGGCATCCATGTGTGCACCGGCGGTATCCTTGGTTTAGGCGAGAAGGCTCGTGACCACGTCGGTCTCATCCACACCGTCGCAACACTACCAGCCCATCCCGAGAGCTTCCCCGTCAACGCCCTAGTACCGATCAAAGGCACACCCCTCGGCGAGACACAAGCCATCTCATTCGACGCTATCCTACGTACCATCGCTACCGCACGACTCGTCATGCCGACCACCATTATCCGACTCGCCGCTGGTCGTCACACAATGCGCGAGGAGAAGCAGATTATGTGTTTCCAAGCGGGCGCTAATGCCGTCTTTACGGGCGAGAAGATGTTGACTACTGCTTGCAACGGTTGGGAAGAGGACAAGGCTATGTTTGGCAGGTGGGGACTGAGGCCTATGAAGATGGAGGAGACAATTGGAGAGCAGCGCAAGCTTCCTGGACAGGATGAGGCTGAAGCGGTTGTTGCGGCTGCGGAGGCGGAGGCTACTGTTCAGGCACTTGCTTGAGGGCACACGTGGTCTATGTAGAATGATCATCACAGAGTTACCACGCAGTAAAGCACTGTAATGCTGAGCCGTATGATTCTCTCAATTGGAGCTAGAGTTTGGCTTGCACACCCGCTTCTTGTACAGGACCTTGTGACTGCTCACCTGCCTGGCTCTCGCACCATTTCCCAAGCAATTCTACGAGTCTGTCCACCTCCGCTGACGTGTTACCAGCATGCAAGCAGATCCTGACTCTAGCAGTTCCCACCGGCACTGTTGGCGGCACCACGGCTCTGACCATCATACCATGAGTTTGCAGAAAGTTGGCCAGGACCTTGGGTCTTGCTAACTGTACTGCGAATATAGGTGATCTCGGGCATGCACTTGGAATTGTGAGTGCTTGACCAGCCGATCTCGAGTGTCTTTGGAGATGACCGAGACTGGTATGGAGATGGTGAGTAAGATGCTGTAGATGGGCTTGTAGTCTCACGCTCTGGCCAGACTGAAGTAGCCGGTACGAAGATCGTATGAGCGCCAGAGAGGGGTAGGATAAGAACGTTGTGTAGATTAGTGGGCGTGCGTAGTTGATGAGGTAGTGACGCAAGGTGTCTGAGCCGAGAATGATTGCTGTGAAGTGCTTAGCATCTGTCATAAACTTGGAGAGAAAGAAATACGACGTACCTCCGTTCGCCGCTACCGCTTTTCCGAATGTGTGGAGCCGTGCGAATATGCGTTTCTCGAGGCCTAGCTCACATACCAACCCCCTTCCCTCTGGTCCTAATACACCAGTGGAATGTGCCTCGTCCATGACTATGTATCCTCGTTCAGGGCCCAAAACTTCTTCTATGACCTCCACCATCTCTTTCAAAGGGCACACGTCTCCGTCCATACTGTAGATGGATTCCAGTGCCACAAACACATTACAGCTCTTGTCTCGCACACCCTCATTTTCACCAAGAACTGCTATCAAAGCATTCTTCAGGGCAGATATGGAGTTGTGTTCAAAAGCAATCGTCTTCCCCGCTCGTGATAACCTCATGCCATCATGAACGCTTGCATGTACGAGCTCATCATAGACTATCACGTCTCCCGGCTGCGGTACACTCGCAAAGAAGCCCGCGTTTGCATCAAACCCACTGTTAAACAGTAGTCCAGATGCAGCTCCATGGAAGTTGGCAATCTCTTGCTCCAATTGTTCGGCGTACGTCGAGTTGCCATCTAGGAGTCTTGACCCGCCGCTACCCAATGGCAAATCAATTCTTTGCAGCTCTTGAAGGTACTCCGATCTGAGTTGTGGCGAAGTGGATAGCGACAGAAAATCGTTGGACGAGAAGTCGGTCTGATTTTGAAGTGGTAATGTCAGATTACGGAGTGTTGCGTTTGTCCGTCGGCGATCGAGTAGTTCTTGTAACTTGTTTTGCAACGGCGTCGAATGCGTTTTGCTCCCCATGTCTTTCTGCGAAGGTGATAATAGGAATGCCTTTGACCCACGATAACGTGACCTCCAGTGATGGTGTAGAGCTGACCAAATGGCTGGCGTGGTAGGATCAGCGGAAAGCGGGAAGGAGGCGTGGGGTCTGCCGCGGCTATCCGCGTCGTCGAAAGCTGTCAAAAGTAAAAACATACTCATTAGCTAAAAGACCGCATAAGCTGACCCCTCGATGCCGTCGGAGATGCGGCTTGACTCATTACATTTGTACCTGCATGTTTAGCGTCGGTGCCCAGGTGTGGACGCGGAACCACTAGCGCGCTCTCCGCATTGGACAGCATGCAGCTGCAGCTATCTACCATAGCACCTTCCTCAACTCACCACTAACGGGAAGTAAAAAAGAAATGGCGAAGGTGCCAGGAGGGTTGTGGACGAACGCGATTGCTGTTCAGGTCTATGGTGCCAACACGGGAGTTGGCAAAACAGTTTTCTCGACGCTCTTGGGTGCGCATTTCGGTAGGGCAAGCCTCAAGAGCAGGGCATCGCCGTTACGCCACGGGCCTTACAAAGTACAATATATAAAGCCTGTATCTACAGGCCCAGCTGATGAAGCCGATGATAGGTCAGTGTGGTGATGCGTGATCCGACAGATATTTGGGACATAAGGGCTGACTGTACGCTAGCTATGTGCACAAGTACACTGGCCAGCGTGTTTCTACACTCTTCAAGTTCGACAAAGCTGTGAGCCCGCATGTTGCGGCAAGGGGTTCGAAAAATATTGTGAGTTCTACCTTTATTGTCGTGCTTTCGCCAACAGCGATTGACTAGCAAAGCCCAGCGATGAGCTCATCAGCCAAACGGTGTTCAAGACGGTCCAGAACGCAGCAGGCACATTAGATCAGGGCAGACTCTTTTCGATAATTGAGACAGCTGGAGGAGTTCTGAGCCCAGGACCTTCCGGCACCCCACAGGCGGATATCTTTCGACCACTACGACTTCCTGCGGTGCTCGTAGGCGACCACCGGTTAGGTGGCATCGCCTCTACTATATCAGCTGCGGAGTCCCTGATCATGCGAGGATATGATATCGATGCCGTTGTGTGTTTCGACGACAAGAGCCAATATGAGAACGCGGATTACTTAAAGAAGTATTTCATGGATATGGGTATACCAGCTTACAAACTACAATGGATTCCGAATCTCCAAGGTGTTGCTCCAGGTACCGAAGGAGAGAAGGAAATTATGCGGAACTACTACGACACGGAAAGCGATAGTATGATAGTAGGAAAGGTTGCCGAGGACCTGATTCATCGCCACGACCAGCGACTCAGCCGCCTAGGATCCATGCCGTACGAAACCGAGGACAAGATTTGGCATCCTTTCACACAGCACAAGCATGTGAAGAACGCAAACGACATACTAGTCATCGATTCGGCATATGGCGACTTCTTCCAGGTCAAGCACAAGGGAAATGAAGAGGTGCCCCATCCTGAGAACCAGACCTTGTACCCAGCATTTGACGGCTCCGCATCATGGTGGACGCAAGGTCTTGGACACGGTAATCCGCGATTGGCACTGGAAGCAGCATATGCAGCAGGACGCTATGGTCATGTCATGTTCGCCGGCGCCACACACGAACCAGCTCTCACTCTAGCGGAAAAGATACTTTCGGGCTCGCCACGAGGGACTCGTTTGAGGAAAGTGTTCTACACAGACAACGGAAGTACAGCGACAGAAGTCGGTATCAAAATGGCGCTTCGTGCGTCCAGTAAGCGCTATGGCTGGGATAGCGCGAAAGAGGCCGTTGGCGTCCTTGGACTCAAAGGCAGCTACCACGGAGACACGATTGGGGCCATGGATGCCTCTGAACCTTGTGTCTTCAACGAGAAAGTCGACTGGTATCGCGGTCGCGGATTCTGGTTTGACTACCCGACCTTCAAGCTCAAGAATGGCCAATGGGTAGTCGAACCGCCTAAGGGCATGGAAGAAGAATTGGGTCCAGCTCAGAACTTTGAGAGTCAAGACGGGATATTCGATTTCGCTACCAGAGGTAGATCGGCGCAGTACGAGGCCTACATAGAGAGAACACTAGACGAGCTGGTCAAGAAGCAAGGCAAGAAGTTCGGTGCCTTGGTACTAGAGCCTGTCGTCCTCGGAGCCGGAGGTATGCTATTCGTGGACCCGCTTTTCCAGCAAAGCTTAGTGCGCGTCGTCCGTCATTACGACTTTGCAAACGGCTCCAAGGTTACGGAATCTCCGAAGGAGGAGAATGCTTGGTCTGGTCTTCCTGTCATGTTTGATGAGGTGTTCACTGGTTTGTACCGTCTGGGCCGCTTCTCTGCGGCCTCATTCCTTGATATCCACCCGGACATAAGCGTGAATGCGAAGTTGCTTACGGGAGGTTTGCTTCCGCTTTCGATTACCAGCGCCAGCCAATCCATCTTCGAGGCTTTCTTGGGCGACGAGAAATCGGAAGCTCTCCTGCATGGACATAGCTATACCGCTCATGCAGTCGGGTGCCACGTTGCAAACACAAGTCTAGACATCATGGAGAAATTGAACTTGGGCCATGAGCGGAACTTGGCCGAGAACGAGGACAAGATGGTAAGCCATGATAACGGCAATCGTGTGTGGAGTATGTGGTCCGACTCCTTCGTGGCAAGCGTCTCAAATCATGAGAGGGTTGAGTATGTGAACGCGCTGGGTTCAGTGCTGGCCGTATCGCTCATTGACGAAGGCGGCTCCGGTATGTCGATCTTTTCTCCTCCAAGCTTCTTCATTAACGTGACCTAGGCTACACTTCTTCTGCAGCGGTCGGCCTTCGCGATGCTTTACTCCACGATGGCTCTGAATCACAGGTACAGATTCATTCGCGCATACTGGGTAATGTCATCTACCTCATGGCGAGCATGACTGCGACGCGCTCTCAACTAGTCCCTATAGAAGCGGCATTCATGGAAAAGTTGGGAAGTGTTACAAAAGCTTGAAGAGGTGTAGCGGCTTTGATGTACCTCGTGCCACTCCTATTCACAGCCCGCATGTAGACATTTAACGCGAAGCTTTGTGTCACCACTCTCAAGGTGCACAGGAGTTGCGCGTCTAACTAAATCAAATAACGAACCGTTTGCGAAGTTGAAAACTCATCACGTATCCTGAGCGGCATAATTACCAGCATCCCGTCACCTCATATGCGCTGGACAATTTCGCCAATCACAACGACCGCAAACTTGCTCAGTCATACGAGTAGCGTGTGTCAACCCTCTCTTTAACCGGGCAACAACAACGTCGGTGCGCCTCGGGAGTCAGCCACGAGTTGCATCTCTTATTTCCGCTACCGAAAACACGTTCATAGGTGATGAGTTTGCTGTGGCATACCGCAATATGAGCAAGTATCTGCGATTGAGCACCCGGAAGTGCACTGTTCTGATTTCTCATAGGCCCCACTGCAGCGTTCTGACTGCTATATAACATATAAAGATGTGGGTCATGAGTATAGCAGCTGACGAAAGCAATTGGGTGTCCTCGAAGTAATAAACATTGCTACCCTTGGCCGACTGTCGGACTGGCGACCTTGAGACTGGAACAAGCTACCACCTTACGAACGAACAACGCGAAATTTGGACCATGATGTCGATGAATTCCATGCACAGTGATGGTACGCCATGGCTCACGCAACCCGTTATGCTACATTCCTCTCGAAAGTACACCTGCAGTCTCAAAAGCGACACGCTTTGTAAGTGGCAGCAAGGGTACTGGAGATTTTGGTACGAAGCCGACCACAGGTATGCTCTTCCAACACTCGCATTCTTCATGGCGACCATCGTTCTCTTTGCCATCCCTTTTCTCACCTCGAAGCTCGTACGAAAACCTCCCCCAAAGATCAAGGCTGTGCGACAACTGCTTGCCATCTTTCGCTACCTCGCCTACCGTTCATATCGCATCCGGCCTTTGAACTGGAACTCCGCACCACTCGGCATTCTCATACTTGGGGCGATAGGCACAGTCTTCTTCGTCTGTATGACACTCGGTCCGCGACCGTACTATTGGCCCAACCAGAAGAGCCCTCCGATCTCATTCGGAGGCTCACCGCCGATCGCTACACGATCAGGATGGATGTCGCTCGCTTGCCTACCCTTTATTATGGCGACGTCGACGAAAAGTAATATGATTACAATGTTGACGGGAGTATCGCATGAGAAGCTGCAGTTGTTCCATCGATGGATCAGCTATGCATGCTTTGTGCTTGCTTTGATACATACATTCCCCTTCATTGTGTTCAATGTATGGAAAGGCACTATGGAGAGCGAGTGGCATACGGACGTATGCTATTGGACCGGTGTCATCGCTCTCATTGCGCAGGTTCGTGATCAAATCCGTCTCCCTCCCGTGTGGGATCTAGACTATGCCCAGAGGAAAGCTGATGAGCGTCCAGGCCTGGCTGACATTCGCTTCCAACTCCTACCTTCGAAATGTCAGCTATGAGTTCTTCAAAGCAACTCATTTCATCGCGGCCCTAGTGTTCGTCTTGTTCTTCTTTCTTCACTGCGACTTTCGGCTGTCGTCGTGGGATTATTTCATCGCAACAGGTGTCATCTATACATTGTGTTGGCTTCATAGCCACATGCGCATCTTTTTCCAGAACGGCATCAGAACGGCTGCCGTCGGCATGGTGTCGAACGACTTCGTCAAGATTTCAATCCCGATGGACGGCAGCTGGAAAGTGGGTCAACACTACTTTATCAGAGTCTTTGGCCTAGGTGTACATGGGATGACAACACATCCCTTTACGGCGTGCTCTCTTCCAGGAGCGACTCGCTCTCTCACGAACGAACTCGTCTTCTATATTCGACCGCAGGGAGGTTTTACAGCACGCTTGGCGAGGCACGCTCAGCAACATCCTAAGACAAGCCTAAAGGTGTTACTCGATGGCCCTTATAGCGGCATAGACATGAGGAGAGTTACCGCAAGCCAAAATACTGTGGCTGTTGCTGGTGGATCTGGTGCTGGCTGGCTTTTGCCGCTAATTGAAGCGTTCCTGCGGCAGGGTGAGCACCAGGCTGCAGTGAGCGCAACAAACCCGCACCGCGACGGCGACGAAGATCTCAGCAGGAAAGATGCGATGAAAGTGATACTAGCGACAAGAGATTCGCTGACCAGGAATTGGTTCGAGCAGGCCGTCATGGAGCTAGTAGCGAACAAGCTGAGCGGACGTCGCTGTGACGAATTGAGCGTGGACATCTACTACACCGGTGAGGAGGACCATAATAGTGCCATCGGAGGCCGGAGTAAATCGGAAGAGAAGTCTCAAGTTTCGAGTGAGAGTGTTGGCTCAGGGACGAAAGCGTTGTCGACAGATGTACGTCGCTCAGAGGAAGCCGCATCAAACATCATCCAGTCTGCGCTCACCCCAAAGCATGTATCGCAACGACCGAACCTTCCAGCCATCATCACCGACGCAACAGAGTATGGAAGCGAAAGTACGTCTGTACTGGTATGCGGCCCGTTGAGTATGCAGAGCGATGTCTCGAACGCTGTCGCTCGTGCGCAGATCGGTGGCATGAAGGATGGGAAACGGGATGTGTATCTGCACATGGAACACTTTTCGTGGGCTTAAGCGTCAGGATAAGAGAATAGTACGATTTAGAGCGATTCGCATGTGCACTGAGAACCGTCTGCAAATGGAAGTCGTGTTAGGTGGCATCAATTGATTATCGTCCATTGATTACAATGACGTCATGCCCGCGCTAAATCACCTTGTTTGGGCCAAATGGCCTAAGAACTCCCAAAAGACACCGCAAGCCTCAGCAACTCCTCCACACCCAAATGGATGGCCTACCGCTGCCAGCTTCAGGAACCCCACGGTTTTGCGAGCCATGTATGAAACACATTGTCAGCGACCATGCTGGGGCCAACCGGGTGACGCAGACATTTCCACCGTTCCTCAGTACGCGTCATACACCACTGATCACGAAGAAGCAACCAGGTGTCACCATCGCTTCCTACGCCAAAATTAGTGCCGTTTGAGAGATGGTACAACATGTCGAGCACGCAGCCGCCGTGCGATCATCCTAGGACTGGCTGAGCTGGCTTCTCAGAACGCGTCAATGGGCCACGACAGGCGCACGGAAAGTTGACCAAACACGGCAGAGATATCGTTCCGGTCATTCAAAAAGCTTGCCGACGTCAAACTCAGTATCAGTCCCGTTCCGTACTAGGACCTTCACGCATGTTGTCGAAGACATTACCATTTAATATTTCATCCTTGTAGGCGAGTTTATACTGCGGCCACACCTCGGTGTCAGTGATTTTGGACCAAATCCTACGTGATAAGACTCGCATGCACGACTATCGGAAGTAAGCCTCCGTCCACATCGACGACTCGAAGCCGCAGAAGCAAATTCGTGCACGCGATACAGCGAGATGCCTATTCTGAGACCACGAAGCCGTAAGAGCCTCCAGAACCTACAACCTCTTTACTGCTGGCGTCTGTAGAACGTCGCATCCACCGAAAGATGAGGAATCAGCGCAGCTTTAGTTCGCATGGGTTCTGGCCGAGGCTGTCTTATAATAGCGGGTCATTGCATGTCCCGTGGCTTAGTAGTGCGGCTTCTGCCGTCCTGAAAGGTTCACCCGAGCGGCGAACCCCTGTCTGGAACACCTCAGCTACACCCCCACGGCTCTCGGCTTCATGAGAACAACAACACAGGTTTGCCGGTTTACCGGTCTACTACTGGGATAGCTAGACACTTCGAACGGCCTTGGAGTTGATAGCTGGCCATCATTCGTGTGTGAGTTTGTCTTCAACATGGTGGCATGCCAGGAGCACAAATCTCAGCTGAAGCTGTGGGCACCGCATATCCCAGATTGACGTATTGGGACGCACCGACCTGCAGGCCAAAAGCTACGCTAATCTGACCCGTGCGAAAATGCTCATAGCACTGGGATGTCATAGTCCTGGGGACTTTCGGGTGATTTTCAGAGTCAAGAGATGTGTGATTGCAATCTCTCAACCTTACTTCATCCTGGTCAGTCTCGGAACAGACCAAGCGTGGCACCCTCGGTGCTGTGATACCTACAGGGCGTTTACTGGAGACCTGCCAAGCTCAAAGGATGGTTATGGTTGGGTCGCAGGTTACATGTGACGAGGAAGCCATGGGGTCCCTAGGATGTGGTACGCTGTCGATATGTCGGCCAAATGAGAAGAGAGGACCTGAGGCTCAGTGTTGCTTGGTGCAGCCTATATTTCGCCTGTCTGCATCAATGCGAAGTATTTGTTGACCGTCCGGCTATTTACAAGTCTTTTGTACCAACAGTACTCTGGAGCGACAGTCAAAATGTATCACAACTACTCCAAAAGTATGATGGTCGCCCTGGCCGTGGCTTTCATGATACTGCCATTCGTCTTCGTTTGTTTGCGTTTATGGGCAAAAAGGATCGCTAAGCGCGTGGGTTGGGACGACTTTCTCACGGTTGCTGCTTTGGTAAGAGAACTTTGAGTGGTTCAGTGTGTATTGCATCCTCTGACTGAGCGCTGATAGGCTGTGTCTATGGCTTGCTGCTCCTTACAGTTAGCTAGTAAGTGATTCGATTGGAAGGCAGGTTGCAAACTTACGCCGATCGATAGCTGCGATACATGGCTACTTGGGGTCTCATCAACCACTGGATGAAAAAGGCCAGCCCATTATGGACGATCCCGGATTAATATTCTTTGAGCAGGTAAGTACACCCAGCTGCCGATAGCAGTGTAATTGCTGACTTCTCTAGACGAAGTTTGCTTTGAACATGATCTCTATTATTGGACTAGGTCTTGTCAAATCGTCGATTTTGGTATTATACAAGAACATCTTTGACGTACGAAAGTTTCGCATCGTGGTTTACTGCGTGCTTGCGTATGTCGTATGCTGGACCGTCAGCTTCACATTCTCGCATCTATTCACTTGTTACCCCATAACGGTATTTATTGAACCGTACTATGGGAATAGCTGTGTCGAAACCGTGCCGATGTTTTTGGCCCTACTTGTAAGCTACTGTCTCTCACTCCCCATAATGATTTCGATTCCAGGCTGACCATGTCACCAGTACACGGGTGTCTTCGCAGACATTGTCATCCTTATTCTTCCTATCCCGATGGTTTTGAGTGTCAGAATGGAGGCCAAGAAGAAGCTAGCCGTGATCGTAATGCTTTCACTTGGAGCTGCGTAAGTCTTATTTCGTCTCGTACGTCATTGTGTTCAAGACAGCTGAGTCGTACAGAGTATGTGCTGTCAGCATCACACGGGTTGTGGCGACTTACTCGATCGCCGGCGAATACCTGAAGCATCCCGACGACGTCATTTATTACACAGCACCTGTGTTCTTTTGGACCAACATTGAACTATCTTTGGGTGTTGTTTGCGCCTGTTTGCCCACGCTCCGGCCCATTTGGTTCTACTTCTACCCTCGCGAAGCAACACAAACTGGTTCGAGCTACGGATACGGATCATCAGGTCACGGCTTTGGCGCATCCGCGCTGAACGGCACCACGAAAAGTACTACGTTTGGCGGCAAGTTGGTACGCAAGCCATACCAGGAGATTGACGAGATCGGTACGTAATGCATGACGTCCCGTAAAGCGCTCCACTAATGCTATGCAGAGCTGACAGCGCGCTCTGAAGCTCCTTCTACGCCTCCCGAAGATGCCTCAACGCTAGGCAAGCGCGGTATCACAAAGGAAATCACGATTCACCAGACGTTGGGATGAATGTGTTCTCACAAAGGGCGTCTACCTCGGTGCAAACAAGAAGCGCCGGTGTTAGCATATTGAACCGCGAATCCTACAATACTCCGCTCGGTATATGTCTCGGAACTGGTTGCTCAAGGTGGTCTCCAGGCTATTGGCGTAGCATATGCATTATTCTTTGATTGGATTGGCATCCTTCTCGCAAAATACTGCCGAGTGCCAAGTTCGTCGGCGAAATATATCTTGCATACCACCGACAGCACTTCACAGACACCCTGTTCCTGCAGCGCTGTCACCTTCCGAATCTTTCGATGGTGGTTCAATGCTACCTGGAATCCAACCCACGTGCGCAAGGATGGAACCGCCTAAAGGAACACGGCCCACGTCATGCTCTCAACATGGCTCGCTGAACTCTTGCGAAAGTCATGTGTGGAGACATTGTGCTGGTGTGCTTTAGGGTAACGCACGGGTCCGGGGCCGTCGGAGGACATATAACCGAATGCGGCTGCGCCCGCGGTAACCGGGTCGATTGCGAACGAGTACGGCAGATAACCGCGTCGGTGACTATACCTAACCCAGCGCGGATTTAGTATGCAGGGACGCTGGCTGCATCCCGTTTGTCGACTAGAGTTTCCACCGGGACGACAAATCCCTCGCCCTGACGACTTGTGGTCCGGGCATTCGATGCCACCATGCCGGTAGCGGAGAAAGTTTGATGTCAATTAAAAAGCACGTTGGGCCGTTGCCCATTCGCTTGGTACTGTTAACATGAGGGTCTTATCATTACTGGTTTCTTTTGCCGTGGCGGTCTCTGCACTTGCTGTACGACAGACTGATGTCGCCAAGGATCTGGAGACTTTGGTATCGTCGCCATCTTCGGTCAACGTCGAGGTTCGAGCACGTTGGAGTGATTATAACGCCCCCCTTCCATCTGTGGTCGTCCGCGTGCAAAATGAGAAGGATGTGGCAAAGATAGTAGGTTCAGCCTCAACCAAACTGCCGGTACAACGGATCGTCAATGCTAATCCAACGAAAAGGTCAAATACTGTACGAAAACTGGGATACCGTTCCTTGCACAGAATGGCGGCATCGGATGGGGAAAGACTTTCAAGTTGGGGAAATGGGGTGTCCTGATCGACCTTGCCAATCTCAACAAGGTCGTTGTCGCTGCAGACAAGAAGACCGCCACTATCGGTGGCGGAGCAAGCATCGGAGATACGATTGCAGCAGCAAATACTGCAGGTGCATTGATCATCACCGGAAACTGTAACTGCGTTGGCGCTCTAGGTGCGATGCTCGGTGGCGGTTATGGCAATCTCATGGGCGAGGTCGGATTCGGAGTCGACAACATCATCTCCATGCGAGTGGTCATTGCATCAGGCGAGATACTTACCGCATCAGCCACGTCGCATCCGGAACTGTTCTGGGCACTTCGGGGGGCAGGACCCAATTTCGGAATCGTCGTTTCAGCAACCGTCAAGGCAACGCCCGCCACTAAAGAGGATCGCACAGCATACATCAACAACCTTTTCTTTTCACCCGACAAGCTCGAGCAGGTTGCGCAAGCAATTGAAGATCTTCCTCTTACGCCCCAACAGCGAGTGTACCTTGTACTGACGTCTAGTGGGGAACCACTCAACGAGCCCTCTATCCTCGTCACTGGCTTACTTCGTAAAGGCACGAACGAAACAGGACGCGAGGCCTTCGCTCCTTTCTACGACATCGGCCCCATTTCTGAGTCCAGTGCCATCACTACGTACGATCACTGGAACGATGCCAACATTGGCTTTTGCACTCGCGGAGGTCGCAAGCCCTCGTACAGCTCCACCATCATGGGCATGAACGCACAGAAGTGGCCCGAGATCTGGGAGCTTTACAAAGGCTTCCAGGCCAAAGGTCCGAACTCCGCCGTCCTCATCGAGCGCTACAACTTGACCAAGGCCATGTCGGCACCCGTTGGCTCGGCAGCAATGAATGAAGCACTCAGGAGGGATGCGTTCTCGCAGGCTATTGTCATACCGTGGTATGATGATGCTAGCCTCGATACTGAGGCCCTAGAATTTGGAAGCAAGGTCAGGGCTCTTTGGACAAGGAGCGATAATCCCAAAAATGACCCCACGTAAGTTTCTGCTGCCACAATCGAAACGAACTAGTGCTCACAAGATATGCAGCTATGCCAACTTCGCCTTTGGCGACGAGACGAACACTGCTATCTACGGGTCCAGTCTTCCCAAGCTGAAAACACTCAAGAAGAAATATGACCCGAAGGGAGTGTTCAGTCAGTGGTTTCCGATAAAACCATAAGTGATAGATATCGTCCATGCTCAGCTTTCAGACAAAAGCAATGCAATTAATGCCTCTTCCGACTACCCAGTGTGTCCAACCTAAAATACCGTGCATCTTATCGTGTATCCATCCATCATCCCCCAAACTCAACCTCTCTAATCCACCACAAGTCCCACGTACCATTGTTTGCCTCAACCAGTCCAACCGTCGAATTCGAGCTCCAGTCCTCATACCCACCATCCGCCGAATACGTCGCAGTTACCCTACGCGTAGAACAACCCCACAACCCTGCGTCGGTCTCTGCTCTATTCAAGGCGTCTTTTGCTCTATTCCAACAATCAAAGACTTGGATTGCGTTGCCGACCCAGGAATGCTGCGGAACCATTTGGAGAGGCCAGGCGGAGCAAGTGGTGCGCATCAGGACGTACTGGCTTATGCGCGGGCGCGGAGGCTTTGGTGGTGGGGGATATGGGAGAGGGGTGTTGGTTATGGGTATGATACGTGAGGGCATGTCTGTGGTGTGTCGGGGTGGCTTGGGGATTTTGTGTTCTTATTGAGATTGAGATAATGCTTGCTTTAGGTAATGAATTGTATTCTTAGGGTATATTGGAGATCACGAGACATATTCACGAGATACATGCATGTGGGCCGTAGACTCACATACCAGCGTGATAATCTGCCAGCTCAACCCAGTACAGCCTCTCGTGCTGTACCCCATTCTTCATCTCCATCCCAGCCAGGACACCGAAATGAGAAAGCGGCTCACCGTTACTAGCCGGCCCACCATTTACCAGTTTATAGGATCCCGGCGTGATGGTAGCTATCGCAGCTGACACGTCGCCGGCAGCACGCATGGAGTCTCGGAGTTGAAGCATCTGCAGTCGGAGGAAACTGGCTGATGGAAGCTCGTGTGCCCACACGCCGAGTGGCTCACCCTGCCACGGAGAGGAGGATGGAGAGGGGAACGGGGAGGGTGGCATGGGGCGAACCAGTGTCATCAGGACGAATGCTTTGGGTCTGAGGTCGGTAGACACTGCGTACACCTCGGTCGCCATCGGGTGTAGGATTTGGCTGGCGCAAAGTGAGACACACCGTATTGATAACCCGATGCCAATTAGATGCCATTTTAAAGTTTGTTGAGCTGCCGTGACTAGGTCATGAGGCGTGTGCTAACACGTATGTCGTTGCCTATAAGTTGCTTTGTCGGCAGCGCAATTCTTTCCCGACAAGTATCTTTTTCCGTCGAACATGGCAGCGAATTCGGCAGATAACCCATACAGTGTCGTCCTCAAGAGCGCCCATTATCCCCTGAGCACGCCCGTTCCACGAAAATGGGTGGGTAACACGGTCTACACCTACTCTGGAAGTGATGCAGTCCTGGAACTCCCTCGTTTACATGCTGCGATGGACAACTTGTACGATAAGATGGAGCCGGGGAAGAACCGTCGGCGATTTCAGATAGAAGATGCAGAGGACGCTGCCTTCATGTTGGCGGCTGGCGGGCCCGCTGTGGTATGTGCTATATGCGGTCGGCTCAAAGAGGGCGAGGCGGGCAAGGCGGGCAGAGCCGTCAATCGGTTGTATTGGATCGAGCGAGTCGAGGTCGTCCAAAGTTCTGACGGTGGCATACCCGCAGCGCAAGCGGCTTCTTAAAATTTCGATTGCTTCGTCGCGTGGCATTCAGTCAGAGTCTTGTGATAGCAGCTTCACAGCGAATGTCTGCTCTCCAAAGACATTCCCGAACGCGGCTATCCGCTTCTTGGTCATCCAAACTGTTAGCACGGGTGTTTTCCTCCTCTTCATCGTGTTGTTCTCATTTGACATTTCATCTTTCTTCTGTGTGCTCGGTGCCTTTTCGACGTCCGCATCGTCCTTGTCCGTCGGCCTGGTTTTGATCTCTCGGTCAACCTCGACGCTCGTGAGCATTGTGTACATCCACCATGCCTCCTCCTTCCCATGCTTATCGTCCTCTCCACCACTCGGTGCTACAATGCGCCGGACCATATCAACGATGCTTACTAGCTTTATTGTGCCCTCACCCTGTGCAGAAACAGCTATGATCACATCATCCTCTTTCAGAGCTTCCGGCATCTCGATTGTAGACGCTGGGTCTTTGTACGCGCCCAAATATGTCTTCAACCTGTTGATACCGGATTTGATGTTCTGATTCTTCGAGAAGACGACGGGTACGATGTTCTGTGTGGCTCGCATGCGCTTCTGGGTTTCGAGGAGCTTGCGTAGTTCGGTAGGCAGCCGTGTCCATGGCTCGTAGAGAGAGGGATGGATTGTGGGAGGAGATGGTGGTTGCGATGGCTTCTTCGACGCTGTTCCATTGATCTTGTCTTGTGCCTTTCGCTTCTTGCCAGCTGTCGGTGCGTCCTCGGGTGCCCCAATGATGGGAAGGGTAGGTCCTTCGCTCGAGTACGGCGGGCTCGCAGTCACCGTCGTGGTGTTGGCGTCTTTTTCGGCCGACGATATGAACATCTCACTCATGCGCTTTGGTTTTCCCATTATAAACAATGAGGGGTGTGCGATAGCCGAGGGTTGTGCAGTCAACGCGCGACTGCGATGACGAAAATTGGACGCGCCAAAAATCTCAAGACGCGCCGCCGGAGATACCAGATTGCGCTAGCTTATCGCCGGCTGTGCCGCCCATCTCTCTCGACCATCTGATCTTTCAGCACACACATACAATAATCTTTGTCACCGCGACTTTATATCGGGAAACATCAAAGAAACATTCTCTCCCTTTGTGATCAGTACATCATGGACGACGATGTAGCTGAAAATCTGGGTCGCTTGAGCCTCGCTACACATAGCCATCGTCAAATCGATACAGTGTATGTAAGCCGTGTTAAGCTGTATAGATATCAGGCTTACGATGGAAAGTGATCAGAATGCCCCTTACACACCGCCATTTCTTCGTTTGCCAGCCGAGATTCGAGTCATGATTTACGAGCATGCCTTCACCAACGAGACTATCCATGTACAACCGAAAGCCACTGATCTACTTGGGGGCACATATCTCCTTCGACGTAACGGAATTCCAAGATACCAGCAGATCATCTCTCTTCTGATGACTTGTAGACACATCAGAGAAGAAGCGACTCCTACATTCAACGAGCTGGTCACCTTTGACCTCACACTCTACTACAACTGCATGGCGGCCGCGTACGAACTAGGACCCGGCATTTGCCAAGCAATAAAAGCTATCAAAGTAGAGCCAAGGCTTGCAAAACGTCTAGCGATAGGACTCCAACAGGGCGCGCCATCTAGCACTAACTACAGGCATTTGTTGCCTTCCTTACAACAGGTGCATATTCAACAGACTTCTATATTCGGGCTACTCAGTATGAGCCCTGACTTGGCTGTAAGAGCTCTGCGACTATATTTCGGTAATAGCAACCTTGAGGTCATATTCAGCAGGATGTAAGCTCTCTTGCACGACCGAATGGAACGGTGGATCGTCGCCTCTGCCACTCAGTGAATGTCTGCCCTGAACCCAACTCAGTGCACCACTAGCGGAACTAGTTCATGAATTTAATAGCCTGGCAATCACAGGCTTTGCTGTACTGGATATATTATTCTTGACATTCCCGCTCAACAAAAACACCTCAACATGGATTCCAATCTGGTGGACCCGACGTCACAAAGCGTCATCGCCGAGGCTACTCTTGCTCATCGATATGAAGCCTCTGAACAAGGAGTCGTCGCCGATAGGAGCAGAAGCACAGATATGTAAGTCATTTGCCGCAGCGAGTTATATACTTCTACTGACAGCGCCCTAGTATCCGGACCGTCCAGCAGCCCTTCCGTTTCCTCGACCTGCCCACGGAACTCCGACTCATGGTTTACGACTACGCCTTCGACAGGAAGTCCATATCCCCTACGCGCTCGCGCCGTTCGCAACCTCCAGTGCACAGCCGTCAATTTCCAGGAGCCTCCAGCCTTCTATTCTCTTGCCATACGATACGCAACGAAGTAAGGGACTTCATATACAAACACCGTACCTTTGACCTCCAATGTTATTATGACCTCCCAACAGCGCTTCAATATCTAGGGGCGGAAGTCTGCGGATCCATCACGGCTATCAAAATCGAGAAGATGGGTCTTCTCCGTCCAGGTCTCTATATTTGTGTCCCCCCATGGAACGCCGATAACTACTCCCGGTTTATCAAGCGGTACTATCCGCGGCTACATGAGGCTCAACTGGTGACCCTTCGATGGGGAAATGTGACGCGACCACTCCGGGAAGATGTTGCCGCCCAGCTCAGGGATGTCGAGACATTGCTTGCGGAATGTCAGATTATACTGAAACCAAGTCTGCTCAATACGAACTAAGGCTAGGACTCGGGGGCGGTGTGCATCAGAGCACGGCGCCATCGACGTCAGATGTTCACGCGCACATGGCTTCCAGTCTTCAACAATGAGCCGAACACCCGGCAGCCAGCAGACGACATGGACGTGTGGGTTCGGTGGAAATGTGACTGTATGGGTTAATACTGAATACGTATCCGGTATATCATATTGGAAACGATGGGATAAGATGTCCAGGGATAGAAGCCTTCTTAAAGGATGAACTTCAATCTACTCACTACCACACTCTCAACTATCCTTCCCATACATTCAACCCCTCCGATAAATCGCCGCATCAATACCCACCGCATCTTTCATGACTTTCATCGTCCACTCGCTAATCGGCTCAAACGCCTTGACCGTGTCCCCCAACTGCTCGCCCTCCCCGAACTCATGAATAGCCAGGAAAGACAACTCTTGCTTCTTCCCGTCCTCGTCCGAAGAACCAGATCCTTGCTCTATAAGCGAATACCGACACGTGCGCAGCCAACCTGGTTGCTCAGACGTTTGCTGATTATGCTCTTCGCGGTACCAAGCATCCAGGTCCTCGGCGCCGGTGGGCGAGGGTTGCATGAGTGCTACCATGATAGTCGTCGCAGGTTCTACAACGTTGAAAGTCAGCGACTGGCGCCTCTCATCTCCGTCTCTAGTCAAAGTATAGTGTGCAGACATACCACCACTCTTCCCCGGACCAAAAATCTGGACATCAGAATACGCCCTGACATCCCACTCTCCACCCACATGCTCGCCGTCAAGAAACTTTAACATTTGCTTCACATTCACACGTGCCAGATCTTCTGTTTCGCAGACAAAGAGATGCTGTTTGTCGTATTCTGCATTGGCGGCTTTGTACTGCGTTGCCGTCTTGATGCCGAGAACATTTCCTGTTATGGCCGTGGACAAGAGGGCGAGTTTGTCGTCCGATTGTGCTTCGTTACTTCCGGTTGACGTGGGTTTAAGAAAGGCGAGGAGGACGCCAGCGCCTGTGGTGGGGACTGAGGGGGCCATGCTGAATGCGTTCCAAGATGTAGGGTAAGATTCAAGACTCGGAGAATGTGACAAGAGGATAAGGATGGAAAGGAAAACTTAGGTCGTTGGATTGGTATATATCAACCATAGAGGGTAAGCGCATGCAGTGTCTCCACTTCCCGGATCAGATTACCCGTTGGCTACCTCTCGGCCTACTTAGTATATGCACATGCACTACAATGGAACAAGATTTCGATGGCTACACGACCTCAAACTTCTTTAACATCAAATTCGCTGCTCTATTCAGATATAATTACATATATACAAAGACATGCTTCCATCTACAACTTGCTCTTCTCAATGCGCTTGAACAGGACATCGCTATCCGGGTATGGGTCGACGGTGTAATTGTTGAGCGGGTTGAGTTCGCTGGCCCTGTAGAACATATCCTCGTAGACCTTGCCATCTGCACGGCCCAGACTGCTGTCCAAGACCCAGTCGTCAAAGCCCCAGGCATCCACAAGCCTGACAGCGTGTGGTCGGATTTCCTTGAGCAGGTTCATGACGGTGTTGGTTCGCGCGAGCGAAATCTGGTGCTTGCTGCATGCGCCGGAAGCGTAGAACTCCGAGCCCTCCTGCTCAAGTGTGTGTAGAGCGAAGAGACGGAACAGCTTCATCAGCACGTCGACAATGTTCTTGTCAACGTTGCCTGCCTTTGCGATGTTCCTGAGCGCAGACAGGTTGTTCTTTACGACCATGTACTGTGCGTGGGCCTTGCTGAGGCGGTAGAAGTCGACGAGCAGATCGTTCCAGGGCTTCTTCTGCTCATCGCGGTGCTTGCTGGCTTCGAAGGTAAGGAACGATACGCGCCAAGCAAAGGCATTGACGAGATCGTCGTCGTCGCCAATAACGTCGAATGCGCAGCCAATGTCGCGGCGTGCATGGAATTGAGAAAGAATCTGAGTGGTGTCGTTCGTCGGCTTCTCTCCCTTGAGTACGGAACGGGCGGACTTGAGCATCTAGAACAGAGGTTAGTAAGGACTGATTACAATGATATGGATAATTAGACTTACGTATCGCGCAACTTGCTGGGTCAACATGTAGTTGTCGCCTTCCCAGGTGGTAGTAGGGAGGTAGTCAGAGTACCACGGCCCGATACCGCTGAAGCTTGAGTAGCCGTGACCACCACAGGCTCGTCGGCAGACCTCGAGACCCTCTGCCGCGATCGAACTGCTAAGCGACTTCAATGCACACGAAGAAGCGTGCAAGTCTGCCAACATGTCGCTGCCTGATTGTACCTCCTCTGGCCCAGCCCCGCGCTTGCTTGGTGCATTCGTAGCGTTGCCCTGGGCGATCCTCTTCTGGTTCTCCTGGTACATGTCCATCATCGATTTTCCGGTGAAATGCAAAGCAAAGGTCGCGGCGAGAAGAGGAAGCAACCGAATCTGCACCATGGTGTAGTTCAGAACAGCAGTCTCAGCCTCACCAGCGGGAGCATCTCGGTCCTGGAATTGCCGTCGCACAGCACAGTAACGGGTTGCGATGGTAACACCGCGAGCCAGCACACTACCGGCTTGCATGACGATAGTCGATCGAACCCATGTGAGGGTTCCATAGACGAGGGAAGGCGCGCCACGGCGTCCGAACTTGTTCGTGTTGGGGTCAACGAATGTGTAACGAGCCAGCATACTGATGTGGGGAATCTTGACATGGTTAAAGAGAAGGAAGCCGTTGTCCATGGTGTTGTAGCCGAACTTGGGACCAATATCTCCGATGTGGATGTTGTCGAGTGGCTCGTGTGTCTTCAGATCACGGATCTGTACGCAGAATGGACTCGGCCCGTATGATTTGCCATCAATGATGAGCTGAGCCATGACGACGGCGTGGTTAGCTGTGCGACCTAGGGATCCAATCCACCATTTGCTGGCGGTCAGATGTGGGGAGTGGATGGTGAAGGTCTTGTCCTCCTTGTTCCAGGTGGCGGTTGTTTCAAGCCCTCGAACGTTAGAACCATGGCCAAGCTCAGTCTGAGCATAGCACCCGATGATCTCGTAGTTGTTGGCCTTGGTAAGCCACTTTTCCTGCTGCTCCGGCGTACCCTGGCCTTCAAGTGTAACCTGCATAGTGAGTAGAAGTCGCGCGAAGACGGAAAATGGCGCGTACCTTGAACATAGAGTCGTGGAGTCCGTATGGCCCCGGTTCACCAACGAGCTCTGTAGCAGTCCGGAACTCGTCAAAAGACCAGTTGTGTTGCTTCTTCAAGATTCTGAGTCTCTTCTCCCTTGCAAGCGCCCTCTCGAATCTGTCGATTCTTCCCATGAAGTAGTTCTGCGACTTGTCGAAGACCTTCTCTGACTTGAGAATCTCAAGGATCTTGTTTCTCCTGTCGATGACATCTTGCGTGTGTAGGAGGACTTCTAGCTCCTGGACGGGTACATTGGAGTTTTCGCGTTCAGCCTTGAGCAATTCGTGGCCTTGAATGCCCGAAGGCTTCAGCTGCTTGACCCAGTCCGGTGTTGGCTTCATTGTGATAATAGATTGATGATGGAGATGATGGGAAGAGAGCGTGTTTGGAATGATGATTAAGTAGGATGTCGATCTTGCGCTACCTCGGACAGCCGAGGTTCAAGTTTAGACTAAGCCATATTAGGCGATGACTGCGATTGTTCGGACCGTGCGACGGCTTATACGTGCGCGTCTGATAGATAATCTCATGAAAGTTCCGAAGCCAATACCCCGGGTAGATGACGAAGGAAGTTGGCGACACGAGGTTCTATCATTTGCGCTGTCGCCCTCGTCGTGGGGCTTTTAGTGCATATCCAAAGAACATTTGGGGTCTCCGGGGTACCGGGGTCCTCCGGGGGCACGCTCGTCTCACAGAAGCAACACTGAGTCAGTGCCATGAGAGTATTTCAGATGTTTAGTGTTGCTGCACTGTATCAAAAGAACCTCGGTAGCCCAGGTCAAGCGTCCCCGTTATAGCTTTTCCATGGATAATATATGGGGAGTTTCAGGACCACGTTGCACAGGTATCTTGTGTTCCCAGTTACCCACGCAGCTGCGCATACGCAGCCATAACATGGTGCCGCTTTAGAAAAGGGCCGCGGTTTAGCTGCTCACAGCTCCTGCCTCGCGCTACGGTGGAACGTATATCGCGAGTTTCGGGAGTGTGGTGTAGGAAGCAACACATTGCGTGCCAATCGGTCGGGTAGTACCAATCCGTCGTAGTGCATCGTCAGAGCCCGACACGGAATCTGGACCCTGGGAATTGTCGCGCCGCAACGCGGCTGAGCAAGTGTTGCCCTTTCTATCGCGTTCACGGGACCAATTTCATGTGCAGCAAAGCCAGTCCTTTCCGAACCGTACTACTACATCCAAAGCCTGAACGTATGCACGATCTTTGGGGATTCAGCATTGTGTAGAATAGACGGCACACATTCAGGGTGCTTGATGCGGGACAGGTACAACTTGAGGAAGAGGGCTTCTTGTATCGAGTGATGAAGCTATGCCTCAGTCAGAAAGGACGATCAGCTCCAGTGCATCGAGGCCAGGCGGCGGCTGCTGTTGAGACGCTGATAGGGGTGCTCACAGCTTTGTGCGTGGCACGCGAGCTCTTGCACAAGTAAGCAAGCATCTAGGCGCCGGCTGCCTCGCCTTAGCAGAGCACCGCCCGGAAAGATGCACGACCAGGCAGCCATTGGCAAGCTGAGCGCGAATTCCAGTCAGGAGGGCGCAATCCACAGCGACAGGAGCTGGTGGGGGAAACGGGACTGCAGAAAATGCGGCGGCGTCATCGTCTGGCCTCGACCTAGCCACACCCACTAGCCCGCACGGGCCCGACCTGACAGGTAGAGCAGCGTCACTCTTTGCCTACAACACCACCCGGCCTGTTTACCCCCGCGAGCTAGAGCACGCAATTCTTTTCTCCTGTCCTCTTCCTAAGGACCTACAAGACGCCCACCACACACGCCCGGCCACTTACCCAGTCGCCCCTGCGCCTAGCCACATCTGAAATCCCCCCACACACCAACAGCGCAGTTTGGAATTCTATGCCCCTAGGGAGACCCGCGATCAACCTCAGACTTCCCCTCGTCTCCTCCCACAGGTCCTTGTAGGCACCGGACAACATGGGTCAGACACTCTCAGAACCCGTCGTCGACAAGGTAATTGCCTCCCAATGCTGGCCCCCCGCCCCCGCACCTGCGCTACTCCTCGCTCTATTCGGCGGCAGTCGCCTGCATTGAGCTGCACGGCCGCGCAGGTTCTCCTTCACATTAACACGACGCTAATACGCTGCTTGCACAGAAATCCGAAAACGGCGATGGCGAGTCACTCATCTACGGCGTGTCGTCGATGCAGGGCTGGCGGATCAGCATGGAGGACGCGCATGCCACCGTACTAGACTTTGCAGGTGAAGCCGGCAAACCCACTGGCAACGACAAGCGACTTGCCTTCTTCGGCGTATACGACGGACACGGTGGTGACAAGGTGGCCTTGTATGCTGGCGAGCAGCTACACCAGATTGTCGCGAAACAGGAGGCTTTCAAAGAGGGCGACATCAAGAAGGCTCTACAAGATGGTTTCCTCGCCACAGACCGCGCCATCTTGAGTGGTATGTTTTTCAGGGCACCTTTCTCTAGTCGACAAGTGGCTGACTCACGCGAACAGATCCCAAGTACGAAGAGGAGGTATCTGGCTGCACTGCGTCAGTCGCCGTCCTTTCTAAAGACAAGATCTACGTCGTACGTTGACCCCTACAACATTCCTTGGCCAATTCTCACACCAACAGGCCAACGCAGGTGACTCGCGTACTGTCCTAGGCGTCAAGGGAAGGGCTAAGCCGCTCTCTTTCGACCACAAGCCCCAGAATGAGGGTAAGAAACATGGATGACGAAGGCAAGCAGCACTGACATCTCTTAGCTGAGAAGGCACGTATCCAAGCCGCAGGTGGTTTCGTCGACTTTGGCCGTGTCAACGGCAACCTGGCTCTGTCGCGCGCGATAGGTGACTTCGAGTTCAAGAAGAGCGCCGATCTTCCTCCCGAGCAGCAGATAGTTACTGCCTTCCCGGATGTTGAGATACATGATATCAACCAAGATGACGAGTTCTTGATCGTCGCCTGCGATGGTAAGATAGTAGAACCTGCTATGCTCGTGCGCTCTTATTGACTCCATACAGGTATCTGGGATTGCCAGTCTTCTCAAGCCGTCGTCGAGTTCGTTAGGCGCGGAATTGTCGCAAAGCAGGATCTTGCTTCCATTTGCGAGAACATGATGGACAACTGTCTGGCTTCAAACAGCGACACGGGAGGTGTTGGCTGTGACAACATGACCATGACTGTCATTGGTCTTCTACAAGGAAGGACGAAGGAGCAGTGGTACGAGGACATCGCAAAGCGGGTTGCGAATGGAGAGGGTCCATGTGCGCCGCCAGAGTACGGCAAGTCAGAAGATCCAGCCAAGTCCGCCTCAGAGAGCGAGTAGTTCAGTTCTAATATAATTGTGTAGCCGAGTTCCGCGGTCCCGGCGTTCACCATCGCATTGACGATTCCCCTGATGACATCGACATGGACTTGGACAGTCGATTCCGGCCGAACAACGGCAACGGCGGTCGCATCATCCTTCTCGGCGACGGCACCGAAGTCTCGACTGGAGACAATGACGGCGAGATGTTCGATAACGAGGACGAAGACAAGGATCTGGATTCGCAAGTCAACAAGTACAACCAGGACGCCAACGCCAAGTCTCGCGAGGATCGCGAAGGCACGCCAGGCCCTCAGCACGAGAGCAAGGTCCAAGTGACTGAGTCGCCCTCATCTGTACAGACCGAGAAGTCCGACGCTCCCGAGTCCCAGACCGACAAGAAGGTAGAGGCAGGCACAACCAAGACGAGCGAGAAATAGCTTGTCCTCACTTGACTTGGCCACGATTAATGATGTTTGGCTCGAAGGGCTTAGTTTCAATGCATGATGATATGCAATGTCTCTCTTATGGATGTTTTGCAAGCGACGATGGGTACGTTGGTTTCCTGTAGAATCAAACGACGGGTCATGGAAACGAGCCTCATAGATCGCAAGCGGGCGGATTTACGAAATGATACCTGGCGGGCTCGGCCTTCGCCTTCCACTTTACCTAGCTATCACTTTGTTCATGATACAATGGTTTTATCAAGATGGTGTTTATCACGACCTTCATCTGTGTCTAACCTAGAAGCGTATGCAATGCCCTTATGACATCACTTCCATCAGCCACGTTCTAAGGCATAGTAGAATGCGTGTTGCATCAGATGGCGCCGAGTTCCTTGTCTTTATGCGTCTACTTATTGCTGGCAAACAAGCTTTCAGATGCCCCACTCTCCCGCTCCTAGGTCGATATTCGGCGTGCACCTAATCTGGGTGTCATCCTAATAGTCATCGTCAACGGACAGATATAGACTCCGATGTTGGAAGGTGACTCACAGTCGAGTATGTCAATCGATAGCGAGGTCTTTGTTCCATCCGTGCTACATGCAATTGCCGTTCGCATTGCCGTCCGCGAGTCCGGAGATAAGCTTGAGATCAGGGTCCAGTCCGAGCAGCATCACCTTTCGTCATAATTTGCGACAGCTGTGCAAGCGTCACGATTGTGGCGTGGGTCCGAGAGTGCCGGTGGTACATTGCTAAAAGCAATGTCAACGCCTGTTCTTGATACAAAAGACAAAGTAAAACAATCATTCCTTTCAAGATCCATTATCGAGCTCCTTCCTCAATTGCTCCGACGTTGTACCTGACTGGCCACTTGCATCATGGACCCTGTAAATCCCAACCAAAAGGCCCGAACCACGCAGCAATACGCCTTGTTTCAGCGGAAGAACTTTTGGAAATCCAATGAGGGCGAAGTACCAGTGTTCAACACAGGTAAGTATGCTTTACCTCCATAGCACTGTCGCGCAAGTAGGAATCGAGCGAGCCAGAAACTGGACATTTGATGTCGCGCAAGGCTGATGTACTGTGTATAGAACCGGGCAAACTCGAAGACTTAGCAAAAGAGAAACTCAGCCAAGGTGGCTGGTTCTACGCGTCTTCCAATGCCGGCCAATCGCACACGCATACCGTAAACAGACAAGCGTTCTACCGACATCGAATTATTCCGCGTATGCTGGTAGATACCAACCAGCGCGACACTGCGACCGAGATCTTTGGACACAAAGTGCCTGCGCCGATCGGATTTGCGCCTGTTGGTATCAACAAGATCTACAACCCAGAGGGCGAGCTACCCGTAGCAAGAGCCGCAGGCGCCTTGGGGCTACCATACTGTCTCTCGACAGCAGGCTCACAGAGCATAGAGGACGTAGGCCATGCCAACGATGAGGGCGTGAGGAAAGGACAAGGCGACACAGGCACCGCTGCCGGTGGCGGCGAGAAGGGTGTGAGATTCTTCCAGCTCTACATGCCGCACGATGACGAGCTTACTCGATCGCTTCTCCAACGTGCTGTGGACAGCGGCTTCACAGCCTGCATCCTGACGCTTGACACTTGGCAGCTTGGATGGCGGCATGACGATGTCGCAAATTCAAATTACGCCTTCTACCACGGGCTTGGTGCGGATCTGGGCCTTACTGATCCCGTCTTCCAGAAGAGGCTCAAGGAAAAGGGCATTGACCCCAAGACACAGCCCAACGAAGCTGGCGCGCTCTGGATCGATAACGTATGGCATGGACGCGCGCATACGTGGGAGAAGGCTGTGTGGGCGATGAAACTATGGAAGGAGCTCAGTGGTGGCAAGCCGTTTTCTTTGAAGGGCATTCAGAGTGTGGACGATGCGAAGAAAGCTGTTGATCTGGGCTTCGATGGCATCGTAGTCAGCAACCACGCTGGAAGACAAGTCGACGGCGCGGTCGCAAGTCTTGACTCTCTTGAGAAGATTGTCGATGGTACGTATCATGTCTGCTCTTCCTCATTGATACACGACTAAAGAATTCTCCAGCTGTCGGCGACAAAATCTACATCATGTTCGACTCTGGCGTCCGTTCCGCATCCGACGTCTTCAAAGCGCTCGCTCTGGGCGCAAAGTTCGTATTCGTTGGCCGTCTGTGGATCTGGGGCCTTTCGATCATGGGCGAGACGGGAGTTGACCATGTTATGCGCGGTCTACTAGCTGATCTGGACATCTTGATGAACGTTGGAGGGTTCAAGAATGTCGGAGAGATTACGAAAGATGCGCTGGAGAGTGGACCGAAGAGTTATTCGCTTATGCATACAGCTAGTAAGCTGTAGGCTGCTGAGCTCTTGGGATTTTACGGCTAATCAACGCATCTTCGCGTACCCGGGTCTCATGTAGACAGGCACTTGAACTACCACCTACCTAAGTAGTATTGCGTATATCCAGCTTGTGTTTTGTGTTGTACGATATAGCACTCAACTCTGATACCTGCGAAGGCACTAGAATATCGCTTCTACATCATGTGCCTAACACTCGCAACAAGTGTGACCTTCGCCCAAGCACAGTCACGACATCTAAATTCACCATTCACTATGAGGAGCTTACATAGCGCTAGGCCGCTATAGGCTGACCGCCACAGGGCTGAAGTGGCCCAAGCACTCCCGAACAAGACCAACTCCAACTCCCCTCAACGCGCAAAGCTCTCCAATCGTGATCGCAACTTCGCGCGCGTCATGTTCTGCAGTTGTCGCGCATACTAACACCGTCGCATTGATTGTACTACTACGGGTTTCCGGTATACACAAAAGTTCATCCCTAATTCGTAAATAGAAAGAGACCCTGTAATCAAGATGTCGGTCATTCTATGCACAGGTACGTTGAGCTGCCTACCCCACATATGGCAGACAAACGGCTAACATCCAATTGCAGCCGGTTACGACCATACCATTAGGTTCGCACGCGTCTCACGCGCCATTGGCAGCCATCCGTACTGACTCCGACGACTCTAGATTCTGGGAAGCGCTCTCCGGTATATGCTCCCGGACTATCCCGCACCCCGACTCCCAAGTCAACCGCCTTTGCATCTCGCCCGACAAGCGATACCTCGCCGCCGCCGGTCACCATACGGTCAAGCTCTACGACATCAAGTCCACAAACCCGAATGCGATCCTCACCTTCGACGGGCACACCTCCAACATCACCGGTGTCGCGTTCCACTGCGAGTCCAAGTGGCTGGTCACATCGTCTGAAGATGGCACGGTCAAGATCTGGGACACGCGATCAGGCAACGTTCAGCGCAACTACACTCATGGCGTCCCGGTCAACGATGTCGTCATCCATCCAAACCAGGGAGAGCTCATCAGCTGCGACCGCGGTGGTAACGTGAGGATCTGGGACCTGGGAGAGAACAAGTGCTCTCACCAGCTCATTCCAGAGGACGACGTCAGCGTGGCTAGTGTTACGGTTGCAAGCGATGGAAGCATGGTCTGCGCAGGCAACAACGCCGTGAGTCTCCCCGGATGAAATTGTACTAATGTTTGCTAACACCGCATGCTAGGGCAACGTCTACGTTTGGCGCATGATCCAGCGCAGCGATACCACCTCGATCCTCCCCATCTGCAAGTTCGTGGCCCATACAACCTACATCACCCGCGTCCTCCTGTCCCCCGATGTCCGTCATCTCGCCACTTGCTCCGCCGACCACACAGCGCGCATCTGGTCTGTCGATCCTACCGCACCCCACAACGTCACGCCCACCGACAACCTGCCGGCAGCTAGCGAGCGCGACCCAGCTGCCTTCCCTCTAGAGACTACGCTACATGGTCATCAGAGGTGGGTCTGGGATTGCGCCTTCTCAGCCGATAGCGCCTATCTCGTTACCAGCTGCTCAGACCACTACGCAAGGCTGTGGGAGCTTGGTAGTCAGAGCATCATCAGGCAGTACAACGGACATCACCGTGGTGCTGTCTGTGTCGCGCTCAACGATACGGCCGTTGGCAACTAGGAGATTCACACTCTACGCATGGCCAATTGGCATGACGTGATACCCGTCACCCTAGCGTGTGAAGGATGGGGGACACAAGGATTCCGGCATTTGCATCAGCGTTGGCGTTTCGGCACGAGGGGATGGAAGGGTAATGAGTTAATGACACTTTGGCGTTTACGGCGAATGAGGTAACTTCTAATATGGATGCGGGAACGGGTCACCAAGGTCATTACAGTTTCGCATCAACGCAAAAGCGACGATATGCCTGGAAAATGTGTTATAGCTGACAGACCAAAAAATCTGAAAATGGAATTTCCACTACGAACTCTCAGCGCCCATTGACACAGGCATAATGACCACGAGACAGCTCCAATTCACGGCCGCTGACTTTCCTCATGAAGTGGTCGCCAATTGCTCAGAGCCGTACCTAGCTTACGGGCACTCCTTTTTTGCGCAAGCATCCTACCAGTATGTTAGTGTCTTCGATCATTTCTTCGCGCCCCGAAACTTTCAACTTACATAGTTCTTCATCTTGCTCTGTACGCACGCATCAAAACTAACTTTCTTCTCGCACAAACACGATACGTGCCTACATTACACCGTTAGCATCGAGCTCAAACTCATACCAACGCGATAAATGCAGAGATTGTAGTGTGGGCGGGATCAAACGTACATATCCCACTCTTTCTGACACTTCACACACTGTGCAGGCCCACCCCTCTTCTTACAACCCTCCACACTTTTGCCTTCCATGCCCTGTCCCCTCTTCAAGTTAAGGTTGATGTCGGCACTTTCGTCCTCCGCCGCATTCTCACTCGCAGCATCTAGCACAAGAGCCAGCTCCTCTGCTTCTTTCTCGGCGGCTGCGTCGTAGTACGTAGACGAATCGTATTTATCAGGAACGGCATTGGCAAGAGCGCGTTTTTCGGACATCTGGGGAGAAGAGGAGCCGATACCGCCGCCGGGGAGGTCGCTGTCGGGAAGCATGTTATCTACCATTTGGCCGGAGGCGATGCCGCCACCTGGGAGGTCGCTGTCCGGAAGCATGTTGTCGACCATTTGGCCGGAGCCGGAGCCTGAAACAGGGTCAGGGTAGAAGGCTGTGGGGAGGGGAGGAGGGGGGTTAGAGGCGTGGACTGGGGCGGCGGCTACCAGAGCGCTGAGGGTTGTGAGGAGGAAGAATGTAGGCTTCATTGTTGCGTGGTTGTGGGTGTGGTATAGTATAGCCTTCTGAATAAGTAGGAGCGTACGAATTTAAAGAACAAGAAAGATGTCAGGGAGGGCGGTGGCATTTATGCCTAGGAAATTGCTGTCGGACTTCACGTCAACAGCTGTCATGCGTCGATCTATCACTAACTTTGCCATCACACTCCATGGACACGCATAACGCTGTAAGGTGACTAAACTCTAACGTACGATTCTTCAAACTACCCCCTCTATCACCGATCCCGTCGTCTCTCTTCAAACCTCCTAACACTATCCCTAACCCCAAACCCATCCTTCAATAACCCGCCCACGTCTTCCAACCCCAACCCCGCCGTCTCAGGATATATCCTCCAAATGACAATCTCCGCAACCACACAGACCACGGCATACAACGCAAACGTTCCCACAGGGGTGAAGATATTCATCATGGGCAGAAAAGTGATCCCAATGAAGGTATTCGACCCCCAATTCGTAGCCGTCGACACCGCAGACCCAAGCGACCTTACAGACAGCGGAAACAGTTCAGATTGCTGCCAGGGAACGTTACCCATGCCTATCGCATAACCGGCGACGTATGTTATCATGGAGAAGAGGATGACTAGGGGCCAGATCTTGTTGTTATCGCCGGCAATGGCAGTGGCGGTAGCGGAAGGTTCCTCGGTGGGAAGGTCGATGAAGAGGAAAGCGATGGCGCATAGTGCGAGACCGATGATCATGATGGGTACGGACCAGAGGAGGATACGGCGGCGTCCGATGCGGTCGATGTAGTGGAAGGCTACGAGTGTGAAGAGGAAGTTTGTGATGGCGATGGAGAGCGAGGTTAGGGTTGGTGATTCGAAACCGACGAGGCGGAATATTGTGGCGGAGAAGTACATTAGTGAATTCTGGGGGTGGTGTTAGCAGTTATTCCATACCTAGGTACTCTGACAGGTTCGAGTGGTACGGGTAGGGCTTTCTGTTGCTTGGACGTAAGGGAAGAAACTTACAAAGCCACAAAGTTGCTGGAAGCCCTGAAGCATACACGCGATAATCAAGGCTCGACGGTTCCCTCCGATGACGATCAGTTGAGAGAAACTGTCTTGCACCCTCTCCTTCTTAGCTCTCCAACCGATCTTAGCCATGTCAGGAGTCCCTCGCAGTCCAGCCGCGTCCTCCTCCTCTTCAATCTCCTTCTCTACCCGCCTCAGCACGGCGTTCACCAACTTCGTCCCACTTTCCTCACTTTTGTACACACGCCCCAATACCCTCTTCGCTTGCTGCGTCTTTCCAGCCTTGACGAGATACCGCGGTGTTTCGGGCAGGAAAAACAGCATAACGAACTGTATGGCAGCCGGTAAAGCCCCCAAACCCACCATCCATCTCCATCCATGCAATCTTTCCGAGAACAACCACCCAACAATATAAGCAACGACCTGCCCACCAGTAATGAACAAACTGCTCACTACCACCAGCCGTCCGCGGAAAGGGCTAGGGCTGAGCTCCGAGATATACAGCGGTACAACGAACGACGCGCTTCCAACAGCTGCGCCGACAATGGACCGACCCACGATCATGCCGCCAACACTGCTTGTCCATGCCTGCAGCAGCGCACCGAGTATGAAGAGGATGTCTGCGACGAGGATCACGGTTTTGCGTCCGTATGCATCGGCGAGGATACCCGTTAGGGGCGAGGCGAGGAGTGCGAAGAACGAGGTGCAAGACGTAATCAAGCTCTTGTCGAGGGTGGTCAGGGGCCGGGAGGAGAGGTCGGTGTTTATGGAGATGAGGGTAGAGGATATAACACCGGTGCTGTGTAGCATTAGTATGGCGTTACTCCCATTTTCTATACATGCCATGAGACATGGCGCAAAAGATCGCGACCATAGATGCGACGTACTCATATCCAAATAGCAATCCTGACACCCCGGCGCATATAGTCAGACACCATATAAACAGGCCTGGGGATACCAAGGCACTCTCGTCCACCTCATCCTCTCTTATACTCGCGTCGTCGGCTTCGTCGTAGCGGTCGCGTGCATCGTTCGGAACGCGGCGGTCGTTGGAGATCAAGGGCTCGGCTGCAGCGTCATTCATGCTGTCTAGTTCTACGTCTTCATCTGAGCGCGGCATACAGCACACACATACATAGGAAGCGTGTTCGGCAGAGAAGGCAGGACGGGGCGCTGGCGGAGGTTATCTGGGGTAGTGTCGGAATGGCCGCGGGAGTGCGGAATGCTCGAGACACGCTAGTGGGTGGGCCAGATCTGTGCCTGGTGATCCATGTCACCTGCAGAATAGGCGGTACCAGCGGCACCAGGAGATGCCAGAATTTGTGTTGCTTGCCGCCTACATAGACGCCTGTCCCTGAACTTATATCTTAAGCTCAAAGATCAAGCATACAGTATCCCGTATGCTATGTTCTGTTTACGATATAAGGTCGCGACATGGACTCGGCCATCATCTTGGGGCGGGTCATTGCAGGCACATAAACGAGGTTTGTGAACTTATAGTATTGATAGTATTCCAGCAGCATGTGCTCACATGAGCCTGCTCTGCTTGCTAGTAATTTTCCACCCCACCCCTGAACGCTGCCTTGAGGACGGAAACGCCAAAGCGATTCTCATGACTTGCTCCTTCCTGGCGCGTTGCGATCGCGTGTAGCGTAGCGATCGTCCCAATTCCCTCCCTCTCTTGTCCCATATTGCATGCCCATGACCTGCAAGGTTGTCGTCCATACCATGATCTTTTATGCACCCATCATGCCCAGTCAACGCCTGTCGCTATGCCTCCAGCCACTTATCATGGTGACTAATCAACCCACCCACGCTAAGCGCATAGCAAAAATTGGTAAAACAGGCAAGGAGAGCATGTAATGAAGGTCAGGCAGCAGACGCTGCGGACGCCGCTTGTTTGCGGTGAACCTGATTTGAAGATTCTCATTTGGGCTCAGCGTTGCCGTCCGGTGCATGGCTAGCGGGGCCAGTGGGTGGAGCTTGGGGACCCGATGAGTGCTGTGGCATCATAGGCTGCGAGTAACTTCCGCTGGGTGTACCACGGTGTTGCTGGGGGAACTGGTGATGCTGTTGTGGTGAGCCGTAGTGACCGCCTTGGTATTGTTGCTGGAAAGGTCCTCGCATTGGAGCCACTAGAGTGATGTTAGTCAACTACTATACGAATCACCATAAAGGTGCTACTTACTGGCTCCTGGCTGCATTTGGTACATCTGAGGAGCTGGTGCACCAGGCTGCATGTACATCATAGGTGGTTGCTGCTGGTGGTGGCCTTGTTGCGATCCTTGATGGCTCATCATTGGTGCACCTGGCCTGGGGCTAGGGAATCCGTTGGCGCCCGGAGGCATGTGAGCCGGGTACTGAGGATACGCAGGAGCGGGAGCGGGAGAGTACATCTGCATCTGTGGATTACCCGGCATTCCCATAAAGGGTCCATTTGAAGGCTGGTTCGTCATCATTTGACCCCCCATCGCCGGCCCAGGGCCGTTCATGAATTGACCGCCTTGTGGGTTGCGCATTGTGGCATGCTGCATACCGGGACTCATGCCATATTGCGGGACTTGCGGAGGATAGCCTTGCATTGGCTGAGGTTGTGCGCCATACATGTACGGTGCCATTGGGCGTGGTGAAGGCTGGACTGATGACGTTGAATGCGAATATTGCATATGTTGAGCTCCAAAATGATGTTGATCTTGGCCGAGGTGCGGTTGTATCGGCGGTCCACGGGGAGTATGTTGAGGTGTCGGTCCTTGTGTCATACCTTGGGCGCCCTGGAGATGAGGTGGTAACTGATGCTGGTGAGGCATGGGGCCGTTGGGCATGACATGCTGTGGTACTGACAAGGGCGCAGACGGAGGAGCATGATCAAATAGTTGCTCATATCCCTTGTTCGTGTTCGAAGAGGGGAAATCCCACGTAGGCGGGGTCTTGTAGGGAGGTGCAATATCAGAGTGATGTGACTTCTCGTTCGACTGCGCCTCTTTCTCAAGGCGTCCGATGGCATTGAAGGTCGTCAGTCCGTCCAGTGATTTAACAGTGGGCTTCGGGCCAGTAAAGAAGTTGGTAACAGGAGGCTTGCGGACTTCTTGCCTAGAGGAGTTTGGCCTAGGACTGGAGGTAGCGCTTGGGGTTCCACCGGGCTGGAAGGTGTTTGCAGCTGGGTTGGGCTTGAACTCATGGGCGCGAACGTTGAACCTTGTAGACACGCTGGAAGAAGGCGTCTGAGCACCACTCGAGGGCTGTGAAGGACCAGTAGGTGGTATACGCATGTCCTGAGCCGGTATCGGTTGAGGAACGCCGTTGTATGGCATGGCACCTTGCTGCTTATGCTGCTGGTGGTTCATCTGCAAACGAGTGCTAAGTAGTCCTTGGTTGCGAGGAGGCATCTGGTTCATGTTCTGGTGGGAACCCCGCAAAGAAGCAGACGCATAGGCTGGCTGCCCTGGTCGAGCACGCTGATTTTGTTGGCGCTCTGCGTTAGCGCTAGGGGATGCTTGGGTGGATTCTGGCTTGACAGCAGATCGTGCGGCAGCTTTGGGGTCTGCCATGGTGCTGGACGTCTTCGGAGGTGTAGTCTTCATCTCCTGCGCTTGTTTGTTGGCTTTGTCGACGATAGCCTGCTGCTTTGTCTCGTCCTTAGCGAGTATGGGCACAAGATCTGACGGTACCGGCGTGCTCAGTTTGAAGTTGAGCGCGAACTTCTTAAGATCGTTGAGCTTCACGGCCTTGTTCTCGCGTGCGAAAGCCCTCTGGCGATCGGAAATCCGTAATTTCTCAGCGGCCGAAAACTGCTTGAAGGAGTCAAGCAGGTCGTGCTCAACGTTGGTAGTAGCGTCGTGTGGCCGTCCAGCTTTCCTAGGAGGGATGGCAGCAACTCCAGATTTGATCGTACTACTTGGCTTCTGCAGCTGTTCCGCAATAGCCTTGTGCGCGTCGACTGGTTTTGATGCAGGCTTGGGTGCGTCTTTGCTGGACTCTTGGGTTTTGCTAGGTTCAGGCGCAGCAGCTGCTGGTGCTGGTGCCGCGGGACTTGCAACACGTTGTGTCGACTGCGAGGCAGGCCGTGCGACGGAAGACGAGATAATGGCAGGGTCCACCGGCGCGCCGGGCACCGTCGCCTCAGGGGCGGGGGCACGTCGTGCGGGTGGGGTGTACCGGTTGGACTGTCCGCTTGACAGGTTTGTCAGGTCTCGTCGTACTCCACTGTACTTGTCCTCTTCATCGCCATTATCGTCGGCCGCAGTGTATCCTCCGCGCTCTTCACGGACGTGCGAGTTGGTTGCGCTGCTACCTTCAATCTCTCGGGCGATCTTCTCAGCACGGGCAAGCCGTTCCGCATACTGTGGGTCATTCTTATTGATGGTGGTGGTGTATATGTTCTCGTCGTAGTTGCTCTTCACACCGAACAGGCGCTCATTGGCGGAGAACTGGTCCCAGTCGTTCGAACGGCCGGTAGACTCGAGCGTCATGTTGGGATCAACCTCGGACGGTTCCCACTTCTGAAGGTTACGCTCACGGAGTTCGAGCTTGCCAGAGATGTCAGTATCCGTGCGGAAGCCTGCGGTGCCTTTTTTTGTTAGCCTGGCATAGAAAGGCAATGTAGATCTTGGTACACACCATTCTGGCCCTTGAGCTGGGACTTGTCAAGGACAACGTTGTTGACATTGAAATCTGCCACATCGCTCATGTCAAATGACATGACGTGGTAATCGCCTGAGCCAACGTAGTCGTCGGACAACTGGCTCGTGCCGTTGGTCTGAGCGTTGCTGGTGGGCAGGAGCTTCTTGACCATCTTGAAAACATAGCGCAGCTCGCTGGGATCGAGTGAGGTGCCTGAGAGGACACCAGAGTACTTCTCGCCATTCTTCAGCGTAATGATGCCCGGAAGACCCTGTTTGTGTCATTAGCACTGTTCACCCACGTCGCATGGAAAGCCAGCTGGCACTTACCGTCAGATTGGCCAACAGGTACATCATACGGTCGCTGAGGTGCCTCATCGGGGAAGCGTTGTCGGCGGAGGCAGCCGTCGAGCCTTGTGGGGGCTTAGGTGAGCTTACGGCACCGTTGGGGGTGGGGGAGTGAGTCGGTCGCTGTGTGATGGGATTGGTGCCCTGGGTCCATGCCGTTTTGGCGGGAGGTTTCCTGCAAGTCGCCCGGTCAGCATGGCGCCAGGTGCAAGTGGGGAGGGTGTTGTCGAGGACAGAGCATTGGGACATGAGGTAATTGAGCACAGTAGACGGGGAGAGGGCCATCGAGTGGACAGGGCAGTCGCACCGTGACTCCATGTGACCAGCCGCACGTCACACGAGAATATCCCGCATGGCGGGAGCACTCGAGGCATGCCTCTATGTGTCTGCAGTGCAAGGGACGCGGGGCAGGAGTGTAGGAGACGTGTTTATGGGGAGTGCAGGGCAGGCGCTTACTTCTGACCGCCGTCGATGGGGCTTCCGGGCTTTCGCTGCTGTGCGTCGATGCCTTTGGCGGCAGTGCTCATCTTCAGTGGCCGGGCGGAATTGGCGGCGGGGTTTAGAGCATTGGAGGAGGTATTCGGAGTCGCAGCGGCAGTGGACATGGATGGGGAGAGCAGGGCGCGGGCGAGCTCGGTAGCGTGGGTCGGTGGTTCGGTTTGTGGTTGCGGGAGAAGGAGCGACGGGCGGGGGAGGAAGGAGCTCCAACTCTAGGGTGAGAGTAGCGCAGGACGCTCAATGCGGCAGCAGGCGCAGAGTCGACGTGCGTGCGAGGTGGAAAGCCGGACGGCGGAGGAGCGGTGGTGACTTGGTATAGGAGGCTGTGCCCGATTGAACAGCCAGAAGTCGAGAGTGAGGTGCAACGCCAAGCGGATCGCCTGGATGAAACACAAGTGCAAGGTGTGCGGGAACTAGGCCAGCCTCAGGCAGTAGCCGTGAAGGCTCGGACGACGGCACGAGGGCGCAACGGTCAGGCAATCCACAGGCTGGTGCGCGAGATGAATAGAGGAGACACTGGGTGGACGGCAGCGGATATGTGGACCTGGCACTGTCACAATTGCCTGACCTCTGTTGCTATCGCGATCACGGGCGCTGCCAGCCAAGAGCGTTGCTGTCC